TTTTTGCTTATCTTTACAAAAATCCTTAGCTGAACAGTTATAATGTGATTTGTTTTATTGTAAAAACCAAAGGATATTATTATCATACGGTATTAAATTAAACCCTGTTCATAATCATTGTTATCACGTTTACCCTTTACAAGTCAGAAATATTCCACGGATTTAGGCATTTTAACAATAATTAATCAGCGCACACGCTTTTCAGAACTCGTGCTAGCTGTTAATGATATCCTGAATTAGCATCAACTAAGAGGCTAATTCAGGATATATGAGCACAAAACACATCCGATAACTATGAACTAATTTAAAAATATTAGCATACTACATATGCATACTTTGAATTGAAGTAAGTATACAATATGCGATGTATAATAGTTTCTAAGGTAGCTGTGATTTAAAAAAAACATGACAATGTGATCAAAACATGTGAAATATTAAAGTTTTCAAATATCTTTTTTTGTTAATTTTAACACACGAGTGTGTAGTGGTAATTTAAATATAACAAATCAGTACAAGTTCAATTATTATATAAAACAGTATTTAAATTTTGTTGGTTAAGTCCGAAGACATTACAACAATTCGACCAGAGTTCTTAGTATGTGCTTTTATGTTGATGAAAATTATAAACTACTACTACACTAAGACTAAGGTTTCCCGAACGGTTTACCCCCGATGAATATTCAAATTATTTCTTGAAACAACTTCAAATCCTTGTGGACTATGATAATTATTGAATATTGTGAACAATGGGCCTTATTTACATTCTAAGAAATTGCATTCGAATTGCGTCTAGTTAAGGCCTATACTTAAAAATATTTCCTTATATTTTTAATTCCTCGTCGCGGGAAATCGAAAAAGGTTGAATTTCTTAGAACAAGTTATACGACGACCACAGACATATTATATTATACTTAAAATGATTAGTATGAACCAATTACAATGTTATATCCATATGTAATGTTTATTAAAATTTTCGCTTTCCTCAAAAATTGTAAAATAGTAGTTACATTAAATCGATTAGATTATAAAGTCTACAATTACAAAAAGATGGCATTCATAGAAGATTTTTTTTTAACTCAACTTCTCTTTTGTTTTGTAAATGGTCTATAATAATTTAAAAGCGTAATCTGTAACTTCTATAAATGTCATAAAAACCGCATTGTTTGTTTACCATTTTTGCCAGTCACGAAATAATGTTACTATAAATAATGTAATTACTATACAGATCAAGAACCGGTATTTTTTTAGGACTAAAACATTGTTGAATTAATGTTGAAGCTTGACTAGCATCGTATGTATTTAGGTGGGCAGAAAAAACTCCGTATTACTGGTCTGTGTAAAAAACAGAAGCGTAAGTGTAACACATTATATTATGCAATAAAACTAAGCTTACCTTGAATGAAATATGTTTGATAGAAATTTATTGTACCTTTAGAGAAAGAAAGTTTTTATATCAAACGTATATGTCATAATTTAAATATTTGTACGTTTGAATAACAACAATACTTTACCAAATTAACAAGCTGTGTCATTTAAATAAACAATTTATATGTTTCGCGTTTTAAATCGTTACAAGTGTTTTATGTAAATGTTTACTACTCGCCTAAACTTAAGCAATGAGGCAATAAAAAAAATCGATTTTAGATTGAAAAACATTACGACAAGGGCGGGACTTGAACCGTCATCCACAGCGCCGTACAATTTTTATCAATATATAATCGATTTTTTATTTATAAAATACTAAAGTGAAAATATTAAAGTTTTCAATTAGACACGACTAAAGTTGCGTTACTTTTAAACCTATGCAATAAAACTGGTAACAATTTTAAAAACCGATCCATAAATCACAAAAAGCGAATTTTAAAAGAAGATACACATCATTGTCCGGAGTCAGTGAGCGTAGCGGGATCATTGTTCACTCATAACATGAAAGGTAACCAACCGAGTAACATTGAAATCAACACTTGACCGAGATTATTATATACAATCTTTTTGAATCAATGTTCATTACATAATTTTATGCTTCAGGAGCGAGGTCATGGCCACTGTTTGATAACACGCTCTATTTTACATCATAATCGGCTTAGCTGTTTGGATACATTTTTATATGAGGTAGTCGTTTCAAGTATCAAGATTTCACTTACTAATTGTGTAAATAAAACACTTAAAGGAAACCTGAAAACTTTAATATTTTTCATATGTTATTGCAGTACATAAATTAATAGTCGATTTTAAATTGAAAAAAAACCACACGGTTAGAGCAACAGCACGGAAGTTGCGGATACCGCCTCAAGTCTTGCCTGTGACGTACTTTTTTCAATTATTAATCGATTTTTAACTCACTTTAACGGTTTAAAACGCCATACATATAATTGGTAAATACATAATTTGCAAATAAGTTTAACTAATATATTTCGTTCTGTGAACCGTTAAAGTGTTTTATTTAAAAATGTACTACTCACGTAAACTACAGACACTAGTTTATTAAGAATTATTTATGTGTTTCAAATGCCTTATTACGTTTGAGTTTATTAATTTATACTTTTTCTATAAACTATTTCCGACAAATAAGGTTTAAAATATTCTTTTAATGTTTGTAACACACGACATCTTAACTGTATCCTTTTTTTAAGTTACGTTATATACTGAGTACTTACTCAGTATATAACTCCTGAACCCAGACTAGGACTAAGACTGTAAGAATAAGTCCCTTATAATAAACTAGTTGAACTGGAAACCCTTATTTTCGGTTTAACACGGTCCTTGCGAGTTAATCTTTAAACATAGACAAATACTGTCACAAAGATTTCTTTAGATTATTTAAAGAGGAATAATTCTTTATTACACGTTTTTCGGGTATTTTGAACCGTTTTGGCAGAGCATGCAATGGAAACCCTCAAAGATTAAATTATAACACATCACATCTCTCACGGTATTTGCGCTCCTAGTAGTTTACGTTTTTAGTTCCTCGATGAATGATCCAACAAAAAACTAATTTTTGGATTCAAACTAGTAGTTACCGAGATAAACGCGTTCAAACAAGCAAACAGTTTCTTTAGTTTCTAATATTAGTATAGATTTTTAAACGAATAAACACAACAGAAAAAAAACTGATAATATATACATAGTAGCAATAAATACATCGCAAAACAATAACTGGATTTGAGCTACTCACAGTAGGTTATTAATTACCATAAATTTTAGAACAAAGTTTCGCTAAGAACTTCATTCATTTGTCGATCAATTATACGCAAGAAATGTTGGGAATAAAAATTTATCTGTGATTGACATATTTAATGACATAAAAATCTAGCCAGATAGCCAAATGGAATTTTAATAGCTCCAGAGGGGGCTTTACACAGTATTGAGTAATTTTAATCAATAGTTGCGTAATGTATAGACGTTAGATTTTTTATCACTTAGCGACTGATATAGTTAGAGTGTTTAAAATAATAGGACCTATATATAAATTATTATTGGGACAACAATTTAAAAAATGAAACTCTTTGAAATAATAAATATATAGTGCTATATTTAAATAAAACTTTTTAATGGTTTATATCGCGAAATTTATTAGTTTAACTCATTTGAAAGTTATTTTAACTAAGGCCCGACGTTTCGACGTCTCCCCGTAACCATGGCTACTGCAAAGCATCCGAAACGTCGGGCCGCTCTAATCGCGTAAACTATAGATAGTTTTTTATATAGTACTTTATGTCATATCAAATGTAAGTAATTTTAAATCAAACTGCTTTTCATATACTCTTCGTTAGCGATACGCGCGGGAGGTCTTAGATTCGAAAAACATTATTATTTCGGTCAAGCAGAGCACAGACTTTCACATTGAAATTGAAATATACATTTTATTTGAAAAAAGGGCCCTATTGTTAAGTAATTTTAAGCATAAGAAGTATAGAATATTAAAATAAGACTTAAAACTATCTGCCTACACTATTTAGTTTGTTGAATGTTTATGGTCTTTTGTCACTCTCTGCTTCTTTTCCATACTTCTTTTATAATGTCAAATGTCAGAAATCTTAGATTAGTTAGCAGTTTGCAACTGTCACACTAATTCTCTTTGTAGCTGTTTAATATTTATTTTGTATTTATGAAATGTACTCCGACGAGGCATCTTGTTCCGACTGCAAATTAGAATTGATAGAACGAAAGTGGACTCAAATACTTATTAATTGGGTAATATTGTACTATGTTTAATATATCTGAGGGTTAATTATAAAGAATATTTAATTTAACTAGCGTTGAGAAATGCTTGCCAATTTATTTTAATAATAACTTTATTATTACAAAATTCTTATTTTTTTCAGTTGAATAAATGCGTTTATCAAAATGAAACTACAACGCATTTGAACTTGAGGAATTTAGTTGAGATTATCAATCGGTATAAAAACGACATCTGTGCTGACGATGTTAATAGAGCCTTATTATGCACAGATGATCTGGAACCTTACATCGGTTACAAATATCCTATATTACGTCTTAGGTATAAAGAATCTTAAGTCATTAATTTCCTAACGAAATCTCTAGACAAAAGCTACTTCGTTTTATACCTAACATCGAGTTAGTATAGACAGCATATATATATATATATATATATATATATATATATATATATATATATATATATATATATATATAATAAACAAATACTGCCCGTAGTTTACCCGAGTAGTACATAAACATTTATACATAATTTTTGTTAGAAAAGTTTCAACAAACTCTTTGGTCCTAGCTTCTCCTATACGTTTTCTTTTTTATTTTATGTGTCATGCACTTCTTTGTTTTTCCTTCTGTCAATAAAATATTTCGAATACCTCAATATGGTAGCAGAGCGTGAAATATTAAAAATAATATTAATAAATCTTCCGTTATATTTGTAATGAGTAAAAATGATATATTTTAATATATCATTGTGTTAAAGTTAATGCGAAATAGGTAGCAAAAAAAATTTTCAAACCAAATTCAAACAAAATCTTGTCAAAATGTCAACTCCATCGACGAGCTGCAAAATTGATATTGGTCGTTTGGAAGGTAAAGAAAATTGGTCTACATGGCGCTGCAAAGTCCTGTTACTGCTAAGAGGCACGCCTGGCGGGTTAGACGCTATAAGCGGAAACCTTAAGCCACCGACGTATCCCGAAGCGGATGGTACATCTGCAGACCAGACTATTGCATTAAACAAATATCACAAAGCTCTACAAGACTACAACGAGAAAGATAGTACCGCTATGCTGATGTTATTGGCTAACATGTCAGATAACACACTACAGAAAGTAATGCGATTGACCAGTGCCAAACAAATTTGGGACGAACTGCATACTTTGTTCGATGGTACATCTGAAGATAAAAGTTACAATCTGTGCTACAGCTTCTTTAGTTATAAAAAAGATCCCCTACATGACATGTCCATGCATATATCTAAATTAAAAAATATATGGCATGAATTAAAGGTCGAGCTGCAAAAGGATGAATCTAAATATAATCTTCCTGAGATTTTACTCATTTGCAAGATATTAGAAACATTACCAGATGATAGCTACTTCCCCTTCAAGTCCAGTTGGATGCTTATGTCAAAAAAGGACCGTAACATTGAAAATTTAACAGCGCAAATTTGTTGTTACGAGAGATCTTTAATGAACAAAGAAGAAGAAACCGAGACTCAAGCGCTTACAATACAGAAGTCTTTTCGCAAAATAAAGAAGAAATGCGGATATTGCAAACTTATTGGGCATAACGTCAAGCAATGTCGAAAGTGGATTGCAGATGGAAAACCTCCTAAAGAATCACAAACATCTAAAGATCAAGCGAACAATCAGAACTTAAGCCTGAATCTAATGCAAGTTGAGACAAATGAAGCAGTGACCAACTTTGAAGATCTTGAAAACTGGTATGTAGATAACGGTGCAACAAGCCATGTCACCTGTAAACCTGACATATTCTCTAGTTTTCAACATTTTACTACAAACCAGACAGTTACAACTGCAAATGGATCTACAACTGAAGCAATTGGAAAAGGAACAGTAGAATTGATCGCAGATGTTCATGGTCGACAAGAGCATATTACCTTATGCGATGTTTGGTATGTTCCCGCAATAAGACGCAACCTGTTCTCTGTACTCGCCGCACAAGATAAACTACAAAACAGTGTTTTTACATCTGAAAGAGAAATCTGTCAACTGATAAATAATGGAAAAGTAAACTTGATTGGTACACGTGTTAAAAATGGAGGTCTCTATAAGCTTAAAGTCAAAACCATTAGAATATCAACCTCACAAGTAAACACTTTGTCAACACAGAACACTTTACAACTTTATCATGAAAGATTCGCACATCAGAATAAAAGACATGTTAAAAACTTGATTGAAAGGGAACTTAATATCAAAGTTAAACTCGATTCTGAATTATGTACAGGATGTGTATACGGTAAGACACATAGACGCAAATTTGGAACAAGAGAAAGAGCTAAAGAAGCAGGAAATATAATTCATAGCGATGTTTGTGGACCATTTCCGAACTCATTCTCAAAATTACGCTATTTTGTATTATTCAAAGATGACTACAGCAACTTTCGTCATGTTTACTTCATCAAACATAAGTCTGAAGTGAAAGATAAACTCGTGCAAATGATCAAAGAAACGAAGACGGCTGGTCATAATATCAAAACAATTATTAGCGATAATGGAGGTGAATTTAAGAATGAAGCTATTGAAAAGATACTAGATTTGCATGGCATACAGCACCGGTTTACAATGCCATATACACCAGAGCAAAATGGATCTAGTGAACGAGAAAATCGAACCCTCGTAGAAGCTGCTCGTACTATGATGCATGCTCACGAAGAACTGCCACTTGCCTGTTGGTCAGAGCTTGTTAACACGGCTGCGTACGTCCTAAACAGAACTGGGCCAACTTCTCAAGAAGGAAAATCACCATTCGAGCTGTGGTTTGGAAAGAAACCAGGTATTAAACACTTACGAATTATTGGAACTGAATGTTTTGCACATGTACCCAAACAGAAGCGAACAAAAATGTCCAAGAAAGCTGTAAAATGTATACTTATTGGATATGATGGTGATGATGGCTATCGGTTACTGCAATATAATCACAACAGCGAACCAATGTTGATACGTTCGAGAGATGTTATATTCAAAGAATCACTAATTAAGTCAGTTGGATTAGAATCTGACATATCTGAATTGGATAAAGACGTTGAAGAAAATGATACAGAAATTACACTCAATTTTCCAAAGGCTACAGAAAGTCAACCAATGTTTGAAGCAAGGGAGGATATATCACAAGATGTGGAAGTTCTGCCTCAAACATCGAATGACTTACACCAACATGAGGAAGATTTGGATGATTCGTCTTCTGAGCCTCATTATGATCGAATACTTCGTGACAGATCGAAACTGCAGGCACCAATTAGGTATGGTGATTTCATAGCCAATATTTCAATCAACGATGATCCAATGACTTATAAAGATGCTATAAATAGTCCACAGAAGACTGAATGGCTCGACGCTATGAAAAGTGAAATAAATGCTTTGAATGACAACAATACTTGGTTTTTAGTAGATCGCCCAAAAGATAGAAAATTAATATCTTGTAAATGGGTCTTCAAGAAAAAGATAAATGCAGATGGAAGTCTTGACAAGTATAAAGCACGACTCGTGGCAAAAAGGCTTCACACAAGAGAAAGGAATTGATTATGACGATACATTTAGTCCCGTAGCAAGATTGACTACAATTAGATCAATTCTTAGTATCGCAGCAAACGAAGGGCTAACCCTTATACAGTTTGATGTTGTTACTGCCTTTCTAAATGGAACACTTGATGAAGACATCTACATGAACCAACCTGAAGGATTTAATGATGGCACAAATAAAGTTTGCAAACTAAAGAGAAGCCTTTACGGACTAAAACAAGCTCCACGTTGCTGGAATAAGTGCATAGTCGACTATCTTAAGACAATAGGATTTAAACAATCAGAATCTGACCCGTGTCTATTTATACGAATGATTTTAAACAAACAACAAAAAGCTGAGAGTAAAACCATTATAGGCCTCTATGTTGATGACGGATTGATTGCTTCTACTAATCAAAAGGAATCATTAAAGTTTTTAATTGAACTCAAAAGAAGGTTTAAAATAACAACGAAACCAACTTCCTACTTCCTGGGTCTAGAGATTAATAATAAAAAAGATGGTTCCATTATGGTCTCTCAGAAATTATATACTAAGAAGATTTTGGAAAGATTTGGGATGGGTGACTGTAAAGCAGTTAGTACTCCAATCATTAAAGAATCACAGTCAGATGCGGAGACGGACAATGAAAAAGTCAAATTTCCATATAGGGAAGCTGTCGGTGCACTGGCATATCTAATGACAGGAACCAGACCAGATATTTCTTATGCCGTAAGCATTGTATCTAGGACACTTGACAATCCAATGAATGAAGATGTTCTTAAAGTAAAACGTATATTTCGATATCTAAAAGGAACTCTAGATTCGGCGATTGTTTACAAAAAGGGACACAAACCCGGAGTATTAGAATGTTACAGCGACTCTGATCACGGTGGAGATCGATCTACAGGACGTTCAACTTCTGGAATTATGTGCATTTATGCAGGAGGAGTGATCTCTTGGGCAAGTCGTAAGCAAACATCTGTAGCAATCTCGAGCACTGAAGCCGAAATAGTCGCTGCCAGCGAAGCAGCACGAGAGATAGTTTGGCTGCGTAGACTTTTCAATGAGATAACAATAATAAAAGATATCCCAATTTTACAAATTGACAATGACGCAGTAATAAAGCTTGCGCAAAATCCAGAATTACACAGAAGAACAAAGCACATTGCGATTCGTCATTTCTACGTTAGAGAACTAGTTACAGACAAAGAATTATTAGTAAAATATGTTCCTACTGAATACCAATGTGCCGACATTCTCACTAAACCCATGTATAAGCCGCGATTGACATTTATTTGCGGGCTAATTGGGTTATTATTATTATAGAGTTTGCAAAAAGGGAGGATGTTAGAAAAGTTTCAACAAACTCTTTGGTCCTAGCTTCTCCTATACGTTTTCTTTTTTATTTTATGTGTCATGCACTTCTTTGTTTTTCCTTCTGTCAATAAAATATTTCGAATACCTCAATAATTTTAACATCATTTTAAAATAAATTTAACAAATAGTAACGAAGAAACAGTAGACTACACAGAGTAGATAAACAATATGTATCTTTAAATTCGTAATTTTTTTGATAAAAATTTGATATCACGAAATGATATGCATTAAACATTACAAATGATAATAATCCAAGACATTGTTACAATCAGGGACTTATACGAAATTGAGGACTTTCCAAAGAAGATCTACATAATGACATCGGTTCTGCTGTTCCACTGCTGTATGAATTCGCAAAAGGGCCAAGTGGATAAAGATATTTGCGTAGCGTTGTCCAGTTTTGAGCAGGAGGTCATTTTGAAGTTTTGCGAGGCTCTTTGTCAGATGGAAGTTACAGTGAACAATATAAACACGGCTATTAAGGGTATACCTTATTTAATATTTTATATTTACAAGTAAGAGTGAACTGTTTCGGGTAACGCATTTTTTTTTTATGATAGAGAAGAAGACACACAATCATGTGGTTCAATTGATGGTAGGTGAAATACTCCAGAGATATAACATCTAAACAAGACACGCTGTCCATATTTTAGGTTTGAATATTCATACATTTACAGAATAAAACCAAAATACGATTAAATTTGACGGCTTTTCAGCCGTAGACGGTGGTTCGTGAACCGGATGGAATTCCGAGATTCCTATTACATTTAATATCCAAATTTTCAGTCGATGTCCAACATGTTTCGGAAGAAAATATAAACTGATTACAAACATGTTGGACACGGTGGGGATTACAATACATAGCTACCATTATACCAACCACTTAGATTAACCTATAGTTTAAGTCATCACCTTTATCAGTGTCCTGTGATGACAATTTTTTTTACAGAAGCTTTTGAAACGAGAACTAGAGTGATGAATATTGAATCCAAAACTGATACATCAAACTCATCCATGCAAATAGTTCCATCTGCTGATAGGCAGAAAGAAAGGAAACCAAAGCTTACATTCAAGTCTTCCATTACAGTTCTACCTTCGGTTATCACAGATACGTCGATGTCGAAGTAAGTTAAAAACATTTTTAACTTTAGGCTCAGTTTTATCTGGGAGATATTGTCAAATGAAACTGTTCGGCAAAACATCGTTTAGGTATCTGTTTGAAATCAAAAACAGAAATTAAACTGCTCTGTATGTATGTATCCTCCCTAGCGCTAAAACTGCTGGTCTGTTTTCCATTAATGCATGGGTATCAAATTTCAATAACAGGCCGGTGTATGCAATATCTGTATCAAATCAAGATTAACTAATTTGATTGAAAATTGTCATTACATACACAGACACTGTTATTTATATCATCTCATCTTCTGTACTTAATATTATATTTATATATTTAATTTAGTTTGCGAATTAAAATGTAAATACACATAAAATTAACAGTTGAAATTTACTTCAGGTCCTCATTTGAAGCGTATTCTGACCTATCTAACTACCAGGTAGCATACGGACGGTTTGACACCATGGAAGTCACATCTTCTGATTCTAAGGATACGGAAGAATCTCTCTGCAAATCTCAAAAACCCTTGGACCACCAAAGTCAGAACTTTGATATATGTATATATAATTAAAATATCAGTTTTTTCTTTACTTTTTTTACTAATCTGTGACATAGTGGCCATAATAATTATATCTCCGTTAGCATAGTCATACTTCCTTTTTTATTTCTTTTTCTAATATCCAACTAAATAAAACAGAGTCTAAGTGCCAAGAAGATTGTGCATGCACTAAATGTATCACCTCGAAGACTTGCTGTGGAGACCCTGGCAGGTCAACGGTAGAATGTGATCAGCCAGTAAAAAAAATAATGTTAGTCTAATTTACTAGTCACTAACTTCTAACGAGTTTTCTTATGCAATATATATTCATTTCAACAGTTCCCGGTGGCAAAAATGGAAATACTACGTAATTTTATCAAGCTCTGTACTACTATTAGGCTTAGTTATACTTAGTACTGTCCCGCTATGGAAGACAAGTAAAAAGACGAAAGTTGTAAAACAATCGGAACACGAAGGGTAAAAAGACAGTTTATTAGCTTAAACAAACTAATTTTTTAAACTTTTATTTACTTTTGGATTGAAACATTGATGCCTATTTAAGGTACGTTACACCAGACTGGCTATGGCACTGTAACAATGGATTTTGTAATAAGGTTTTCAGACCTACAAAAAATGAAAACATGCATTCTTCCATGAGCAGATGTAAATTACTGTGTTCCGGACCACAGCTTTGGCCACACCCAATTGGCTATACATACTTCAGCAAAACAATAGTGAATCTAGCGACCAGTAGATTAGAATATAAGTTCCAATCAATACCGTCAGATGCTGTCCACCAATATTTAGCAGAGGCATTTAAACTGTTCCTTAAAGATCTCGCGAGACTAGAGAAAATTGATACAAAATCGAGGGAACAATTAATAGAACCTGTCAAGAAAATGATTATACAAATAGACATTGAAAGTGATTTTGATCCTAGACTGAGAATTAACACGGATGAAGCGTACATGGTGAAAATTGATACAATAAAACATCAGGTTTTCATCAAAGTAAGTGCTGTGTCGTTTTGCGGTGTAAGACACGGTCTTGAAACACTTACCCAATTGATACTCTTAGACCAGAGTACAGGAAACTTAATAACATTATCGCATGCCGTGGTAAAAGATGCACCGACTTATAAGTATAGAGGGCTGATGGTAGACACCGGAAGGAACTATATCCCAGTAATGGATCTAGTACGAACAATAGATGCCATGGCTATGTGTAAGCTAAATACCTTTCATTGGAGAATTTCAGATGTAACCAGCTTTCCTCTGAAACTGACCAAAGTACCACAACTATTTGAATATGGTGCCTACGATAAAACTATGCTGTATACAAAAGAAGACGTTAAAATGATAGTAAAAAGGGCTGGGGTACGAGGAATTAGGGTGTTAATAGAAGTTGCGTTACCTGGACCCGTAGGACGTCCATGGTCATGGCTCCCAGAAGCAAGTTGTCCAACTAAAACTGAAAATCTCACATGCGACAATCTTCCGTGTCTGCGAGTTTTAATGAGGGAATCGGTATTTGAAATCATACAAAATATATATACAGAAATACTTGAATTAACGAAAGTTGATGATGTTTTTCATTTGAGTGATGGCGTATTTTCCCTATCACGTTGCAAAAATTTATTGGAAGACAGAGATGGGTATCTGGATAAGGCATTGTATATATTACGAATGGCTAATAAAGGGTTCCTACCGAAATTACCAATTGTCTGGTATTCGCTACATTTGCTGAGGGATTTCGAGGCTAAAGTTTGGGAAAGACTTGGTGTGCAACTTTACGATTGGACACACAGTCCACAAGAACAGTACTTAAGCCAATTCAAAGTAATACATTCAACGAAGTGGGATTTGTCTTGTGAAATCAAAAAACAGCGATGTACAAAATACAGGTAAATTCTTTAGCGACGATTGATTCTTTTGGATCACTTTTAACAATGACAACTTAATAGGATCCCTGCAGAACAGCGTATTTCTCATTTTAGTTAGTAAATTGTAAACGCAGGATTGTATATAACTAAATGCTTTGTTGGTCTGGTTGTGGCTAAGTCTGGCAAAATATTACTTTGATATTTGAAAGTTTTATAAAATATCTCTTTTTCCATCCGGAGTTTAGAGACTCTATTTAAATTGGCCATTGAAGTAATACCTGTGCCCAGCAGTGGGACTTTAATAGTATGAAACGTGTGCAGGACATGGCAAGAGATGTACTCGTGGAAATCTTGGAGGAACATCGAAGTGTTTACTATAGAAGGCGGTGAAGCTATATTGTGGACTGATTTAGTTGACACTGGTTTGTTGTTTTATTACTTGCGTCAAACAGTAAAACATTATATTATATTAAATAGTTAAAATAAAGTGAACTTAAAAAGATTTATCGAAAATATCGAGTCGTCCATAAATAAATAAGATTCATTTTACAGTAATTAAAATTATAATTAACTATTTAACAAAGGTACTTTAAAAAGATAATTAAAAATGTAACAAAGGTAAATAATACTTATATCAATTTTATGTAACTGAGTTTAAGTTAATTATGTTATTAAATATGATTAGAAGGATGTGAATATCCTAGTAGATACTTTAGGTTAAAGCGAGAAATGATATTGTATGTTGTACACAAAGCGTACAACATAAATTTCCAGCAGAAATATACGTCTCCGGCCTATGCAGCCAGGTAATGATGGGTTCAAGTGGGTAAGATTTTGGGTTTATTTTCTATTTGTTAAAACGTTGATATTAGTGGAATTATGACGGAAATATTATGACGGGCCCGGTTGGTGTAAAGATAGCAGTTTACGGCCAATAATCAACGGGTCGTGGGTTAAATCCCCACCAGACCCAATATGTTTTAATTAATTTATAATCTGGATATTAAATAGGTCGGTATATCGAAATTTTGTCGAGTCACGAACCACCGTCCACAGATGAAAGAGCTGACATGCGATATCGCGCAGTCTATGTTCCGAATATCCAGTGACAAAATAGGCTGACAACACATCTTGTTTAAATGTTATATGGCTGGGGTATTTCACCTAGGGACCGTTCAAGTATTACGTAAGCACTATAGGGGGTGGGGGGGGGGGCTTTGTTTTGCTTATTTTTGATGATATGGGGGGTAGGGGGAGTCCAGGTGATGATTACGTCATCGATATTTATTTACTTTCTGAATCAACTCACTTTCTTATTTTTAAAATTATACTTATAATATAAAAAATACATTTTTAATTGAAAAATGTTTACGTAAGCACGGGGGAGGGGGTAAAAGCTTTGCTTACTTTTGCTGACGAGGGGGGATGGGGGGGGTAAATAATTGTAATAAATCTGCTTACGTAATACTTGAACGGCCCCCTAGCAGCAAGCGAACCCCCTACCTAAATCCCGACAGCACATCTTACTTATTATATGGCTGGGATATTTAACCTCCCACCAAGTAAAATTCTTGCTTCTCCCTTTCATTAAACATATCATGCTATATCAAGCTATATATTTCAGCGTAGTCTGACCGAAGCCTATTTCAACACGAGTTAAACACTTTTGACAGCGCCAGTTCGAATCCATCACTAATGCCCACTTAACGATTGCCAATGAGCACTAAATTGCAGTTTTTAGTATATTAACAAACAATGTCACGCTTGGATTCCTCTTGAAACCCGTTCTTGAAATCACGATTAACGTTTAATAACTTAATAATACACGCATTAACCCACTAATGAATGTTTACTTGTTTCTTTAAACGTGTAATAAATGATGCGAAACGTTGGTGCACATGCGAGTAATCAGTAATCATTGGAGATCGGCCAAATATTCAAAAAGTCTAAAAAAATATATCTTTCGATTAAAACTGGATTATTATTATTTACTGACTGTGTCGGCGACTTTGTCCGCGTATTTATATAGAAATACTTGTTTTGGACGTCCAAATTTGTTTTCCTTCTCTTCATCTTTATAAATTTAAGCTATGACCCACGACCTCGGTTACGTCCCGTTTTCCCGACGTCCGTCCCGACGTTTCGTCGTTCTAGCAAGTTAATCTTATGAGATTGATATATAGTGTCTGAGACATATTTTTGGGTGCCTTGAACTGTTTCCACAGCATCGGAAACACACAGAGATGAACAAATCCCCCGTTTTTTCACTGCTATTAGTCGTTGCGTGATGTCTTATAGCCTAAAGCCCTCCTCGATAAAATTCCTCTAACCAACACAACAATAATTTTTCAATTGGAACCAGTAGTTTCTGGGATTAACACGTTCAAACAATCATTCATATTAGTATATTATATTATTTATTTACCCTTTGAAGTACTTATAACAAAGTTTTAATGTCTTAAGTTTAAAAATGCCCCAAAACGCCAGAACGCGTCACGTCATATGTGGCCATGTTCGAAGTTCGCGGAAAACATGTGCACTTACTGATTGCCCACGAATGACGTCACGCACTGTGATCGGTATTTCAATATACATTTAAATTATCGTAATTATTAACATATTGTTCGTTTAAAAACTATTAAAATGAATTGTATTACACTATTATTCGATAAATAATCGTAAAACCGTATATATTTATTCGATTTACATTAATTACAGATTATATTAGATTATTGATTGATATCCTATTATAAAATCGTAAGCTATCTTATCCTTCAGTCATTAGCTAATGATCGGAGCTTGTACCCGCTTATCCTTATAGATAAAGTTGTATAGGAGACACACTGTTGGAGTTGTATACAGCGTTACAGGGCACTCATACTAAACTTCATAAAATGACGTCATCGTAATTTAAGAAAAAAACATATTAGTACACATTTAAATTAATTCCTCTTAATTGTTCAAACCCGAAAAATATTTATTAATTTGTTTGAAAAAAATTAAAAGTGTTTTATTTACCAGACACAGTGACAAAGTTTACGAGTAAATACTGTCTGTAGTTAACGCGAATAGTACACATTTAAATAAAGTACTTTAATGGTTCAAAAAATATATTAGTTAAACTTACAAATGGAACGTCGTTACAATAATTTGTAAATAAGCTTAATATGTTTCGCGTTTTAAACCGTTTCAGTGTTTTATGTAACGGTTTAATTTCGTTTTTTTAATATTTCTGTTCTTCAGTTTTGAACTTAACTGTGAACTGGTAAGAGCTACCGGAAAATTTTGATGCTGTTAGAGGCAGAGTGGCCTAATAACAAAAATCATGATTTTCAATAAGGAGGAAAATAAAAATGCAGAATGAACTTAGGCGAAAATGAATTTGTACTATTATTTGTGTAACAATTAAGTAAACAATTTTCGGTCACTGTGCTTTTTATATGAACAACATTTTTAGGCAATGCAAATATAAATAAATCAAGTCATAAGATTGTGGTTGGGCTACTCTGTCTCTAGCCCCATTTTTGTTCAACTTTGACAGGTAACTTAGACGAACACTTGTGGCCTCGAGCGGCAGCGGTAGCGGAGCGTTTGTGGTCAGATATGGTCGCGAATTCCAGCGCTACGAAGTTCGTGTACTTAAGACTCGACACTCACAGGTAAGCCCCGTTTTAAGTATGATGCAACATTTAGTTAAGTTTCGTCTAAGACCTTTTCAAAGTCAATGCTGAATTTAATACAATTACTCTATTAAGATGAAATGATCTTGAAAATGTCTGTGTTACCGTTTAATATTAACAAATTTTACCGTTTAATTTAGTTAAATATACTTAGTTTTCAAATTATATGCCAGCGACTTCGTCCGCGTCGAATAGTTATTGAAATTCGTTTTTGTAAACCTCCTCATCGGTTTAAATTAAAGCTGACCAACGACGTCGTCCGCGTCCCGCCGCGTTTAAATTTATAGAGTTCCTGTTTAACTCTATATTTAAATTTAAACAAGTTTTTTAAAACGTCTCTGACACAGCTAGTTAAATATATTTAGGGTAAAAATCTTATTCTTTAAAATTTTGTTTAATTTTTCAGATGGCGTATGCTGCTACGTGGTATAAAAGTACAACCAATTTGGCCGGCTTGGTGTAGCTTCAACCCTGGGACGTGTTTGGAAAGAATCCCATAATACAATTTTGTTATTATAATATTATAATATATATTTTACTTGTTTTATTTACGTACAGTAGGCAATATGGTTTTAATTTTACATACATTGTTGAAATTTGATATTAATATATATAGTAATTAGAGCGAGTTATGTCATTGTCGAACATATGAATCCAGTGCCTTTATGTTACAAGGGCAGTTCATAAACTATCTCATAACAGGTTGTAATCTAAATATATCCTACTTTTAACAGGTTACCGTGAAATATATTCGGTTCGGTTCATAAGACATATAGATGGAGGATGTCCTTAATGCTAAGCCTATTTAGCTATCGTGTGACTATCTATTTTTTCTTAGTTGTCATTTTTTAAGATAAAAGAGGACGGACAAGCACGATGTTCACTTGATGGTAGGTGAAACATCCAACACATCTAAACAAGATGCACTGTCAATCTATTTTGGCTTTGGACATTCGGAAAGACGCCGTCTGAAACGGAAACGCGATTAAACTCGACGTCTTTTTCAAGAATTTGTTTGCTTGTTTGATCGCGCTAATCTCAGGAATTATTTTCAAACTGGGGGCCTACCACCATCTCTTATAGCAGTATTATTATAATCTTACTTTCAAATTTCGTACCATGACGTTTAAAAAGTAAGCTTATTAAATTTTTCTTTGCGTTTTGTAGTCACCGCAAATCATTCGCTCAATTGCGTACCACAAGTGTCTTTTGACAGTTAGCAATATTGTTTTTATTATATTTAGCAATCATAAAAAAGTTTTTTGTACTGGAAGAAGATTTTTTCATATTTCTATTAGAAAACTAGATAGTTTAACTTCAAAAGTAAGTAAAATTTTAATTTGCGTGAATCTTTGTGAAAAAGTATATTTTACTAAGGAAAGACCCAAAATTAGATTTGCAAAGTTAAATGTGTGTTTAGACGGCCGATAATATGAAAAATTGATTTTTGGAAGTAGATAATGCCGAAACAAACTCATCGAAGAAGCAGCGAGGTAGGCATTTACGCCAGGAATGTGACCCTTTCGACCTTGACGAAATGGAGTTTGTTAAAAGATATAGGTTACGAAGGACTCACGTATAAGTTGTGTGATGAGTTAAGGCCTCTACTAAAGAAGCCAGTTAAATCACTGACTTGTCTGTGGAGACGAAGGTATTTTAAATACATTATAGCTTCCCAAACAATGACCAAGAACGCAACAGAATAAAAGCACATAAGTGTTTTTTATGTCATTATTTCTTATCCCAGCACAACACTTTTTATTATTATGTAGTAAGGTCATATTCAAGCTGTTCAGAGTCAAGCTGACTAGACCAATGAATCTTTCTGTATATATGAAACAATTTATTATATATTAAATGTTAATATATTTTTTTAGATTCTATAAGAAATTTAACATTCCGGGTATCTTGGGATGTATAGACTGTACCCATGTTGCTATTGCATGGCCTGCACTAAATGAAGAACACTATTTTTTCACATTATCATTCTTTGAATATAATTGGTAAGTCATGTATAAACTCCCAAACTTACATTTGATATATTATTAAAATTTTATTGAAATAATAACAAAGAGTTGGATAGCTTTGAACAATAAGAAAAGAAATATGAGGTAGTCACTTTAAATATTACTTATTATGTTATATATATATATAACTATTTTACTATGTTTTTTCAGGTTTGTGATGCACATATGAAAATATTAAGTGTAGATGCAAGTCATGGCGGTGCTGCCCATGACTCATTTACCCATTGAGAATGCATCTAGAAGAATTAAGTAATGCAGAGAGTATTCGGTTTTTAGGTATTTATATGTTTTGTTTTGAGTGAAAGATGTAATTGAGATTAATTATTTAATTGTCTAAGAAGTAACATTATTATTATTTCAGGTGACTCTGGCTATCCATTGAGAAGGACAATGATGACTCATGCGGTGACAATATAACTCCACCGAGGATGGGCTACTAGGACTGCCCAGCTCTGGGAAAGGCGTCATTTATAGATCTGTAAATAGGAGTGAACATTAATATTATTAACTTTCTTATTAGTTTTATTTTATTATAATATTAAAAGTTTTTTTTTATGTATAGTTTATTATTAAAACTTTATTATTTACTGTGTTTATATTCAAAAGTGAGAGAGAATTTTGTACATATTTATTGTAATTAATAAATCTGTTTGTAGTTTTTAAATAAAATCACATTTGTTATTTCTAACCTAAAATTAAAATACCTTTCAATGTTTTGCAAGGCGCTGTGTATTTTTTCTGAACCCTCTGTAATTCTGCATTAAGCTTGTCACTACCGACAAAAAATTAAAACACTTTACTTAGCTACTTAAAATTCCAAGCGACGAGAACTTAAAGCTAAACGAAAAATTTTTTTTGGTTATATAAACTAAATAAATTATAAAAACACTATTTTGAACTTGTACTTACTTTTCGTCTGCCATTTTAAAATTGAGATATGTAAAATTTGCAATTTACTTTAAACATACAAACTTCATAATATTCAAGCGTTCCCGCGCCGAATTTCACTGACACCTCGTCACGACTTAATAAAAGTTCCGTTTCATGAAATCACAACCGCGAACCTCCCTATTTTTGACATACTTACGTCTTAAATGTACGATAAGAATTAATTTGAGACAAAAAATTAAGTTTTCAAATTTATTTGAATATACTTTTATTTATTTTAAAAACTTTACACATATATGGTTAAAAATATTAAGTACCTAAAAATCCAAAATCTTAACTGTAAGTGCGTGTTTCGGAACACTGTGCGAAAGTGATGACGCTATACGAAAAACATTAGCTATCTCGCTTTCTCCCTAAGCAGGGAATAGACAATCATTCGTTCTTTTACGTCACTAAGCAGGAATAAAACAATATTGTTTTATATAGGTCATGGTACGAATCTGAGTAATATTGTTTTAAGCCTGCAACAAAACGTTCCTGATACATGATGGTTTTTTTAAAGTTTGTGGTAGGCCCCCAGGAGTATTATCTTTGTGTACTTTCACTCTGACACATAGCCTCTGGTGGCAGAAAGGTTCGGAGAATGACATCTTTTAAATCCGTAAATTTTATATGTACAAATAATAAAATTAAGAAATCAAACCGGCCGGTTTGAAGAGGACACAGTAAGAATTAGATGATCCAATATCCTTCGTAGGAAATGGGGAAATAGGTGAAATGGATAGCAGATAATGTGGCCTGAACACCCGCCCTCCTATTGGTGTCCCTAGTAGAAAATAATAATATGAATCTAACTACTGTGTACTAGTACTACCCATGTATAAGCTTAAGATTGAGTCCCAACTGTGGGAACTATTAAAGTACAAATAAGGGTGATCAATGCACTTATGACTTTAGCTTTTCGATGTATGAAAATTAACATGAATTAGAATAAGCATGAACAAATTCGCCTAATCGCTGACCCTTTTCAGCATCCATTGCGTAAAGAGGATTTATGCCAAGGTGATGTCTTGGGTTGGAAAAACCGGTTCAGGACGGAAACGTGTTCACGCGAGCGCACTTAATGCGCAGGGCTGCCAGGTAAGGAAAATTTATTTTATTAAGGTGAAATACACAGCTATCGGAGTGAAAGAAGAAGAAACCCCGTGATATTAATTAGTAATGAATTTTAAACTTTTTAATGGACGGATGTTTATTAAATATTTATCTCGAAAACACTATCGTTCTCTCCGTTATAAGACAACTATTGCCTCTTGGCATTATTAAATTATTCAACCGTACTGTTAAAGAAGATCTATTGTATTTTAAATAACTGTCACCTAATCGTAAATTTTAATAACTAAATTATTAAAATTTACACAACGACCAACCACCTACCACAATCGTTCATTCGCACTGAAAATCTTTCAACAAGTAATTCATGAAATATGTATTACAAAAGTAACTCCCACTATTCAGGTGCTGGCTCCGATGCCACCATTAAAATAGGTAGGCTGCTAACTATTTCAATCGTTAACAAACAACAAAAATTTGTAGAGAGGTATATAAGATTATAAACTATTACAATCATTAATAACCATAACGGCTAGAAAGATACATCATCAGTAAAAGTTATAATTATACAGACGGACTCGCAGAGTCATGGGATAAAAATATCTCAATTTTATTAACTTTAAGGCTGTGTTTCAAACCATTTTAAACCCTTTACAGTTTAAAACACGAACTATGTTACCTTATTTAACTACGGTCCGACGTCTCGGATGCTTTGCAGCAGCTGTGGTCATAGGCGGGGACAAGTTGGGCCGTAGTTAAATTAAATTAATAAGTTAAGTAATATATTTCACTTTTTGAACGGTTAAAAGCGTTATACCGTTGTGTCAACCCTAAACACAAACGTTACTTATTGTGTAGAAAAAAGTTCACTAAACGTTCTCATTAAAATCATTAGCCTACAATTTTTTTATGAAACTAATATCTAATTAACGCATAAGTGTTGTGTTCCTTGCAATCGTGCAATTGTTTTGCGAAACGTAACGTAAGTATTCAAACAAAACGAATTTCGAAATAGGGCGATGGGAAGTCGTGCGAAAAACATTAATTCATTATACTACTAAATTATACTAATGCGTTAAATGCTTTGAACCTGTGTAAAGCCGATTCTATGTTTATCTTTGCTAATATATAAAGCTCAAAGCATTTATCGAGGAATGCTATAAAACATCTCAATGTGACTAATAGGTGAAAAACGTCGGGAAATGTAAAAAAAAACATCTTGTCTTGTTGGTTTCCGATACGTACGCTACGAAAACGTTTCAAGATATCCAAAAAATATGTATGAAAAAGTGATTGCTATTTAAAGAATCTAAAAATATGTCTATCTTTTAAGATTAACTTACAAGAATGACGGGACGCGGACGACGTCGTGGGAAACAGCTTAAGTTTATAGAGTTGATTAAGATGTTCGCAGAAACATATTTTGATATCCAAAAAAACTATTCTACGCGGATGAAGTCGCTTACACAGCTAGTACATAATATATTAAAAATTAGAAACTGTCGCTAACTATAAAGTATAAGCAAAACGAAAAACATGGAATAAAATACTGTCTATAGTTTACGCGAGTAGTACACATTTAAATAAAACACTTTAACGGTTTAAAACGCGATATATTAAATACTGTCTATAGTTTACGCGAGTAGTACACATTTAAATAAAACACTTTAACGGTTTAAAACGCGATATATTAGTTAAACTTATTTGAAAATGATTTTTTAACTTCGGCCCGACGTTTCGGATGCTTTGCAGCAGCCGCGGTCTCCCAGTCTCCCCGTGACCACGGCTGCTGCAAAGCATCCGAAACGCCGGGCCGAAGTTAAAAATCATTTCCAAATAAGTTTAACTAATATATCGCGTTTTAAATCGTTAAAGTGTTTTATTTAAACATGGAATAAAGTGCATTTCGATCTTTTTTATTCGAAATGCTATTTAAAATCATTTTTAACGAATTTGAGTTTTTAGTCTGTTTATTTTTTAATGTCTACACCAAAAGTAGCGGAAGATGTTTTTGGGCTAGAGCATCTTGCATCAAGCGACCCTCATGTTTATAGAGCCTTTTATATCATTAGTAGTTTAATAACGGTATTTAAAGAACGATGTATTTATTTTAATTTCTTCCTTACCTTCGGCTATTTCATCCCTTGGTCCTAAGAGGTAGTGGGAAGCGTAGGCATAAATAAAACAAACGTCTACGTGTAATTATTTACAAACATTAATCATTTATTAAGTCAAAATATCACCTTCTTTTTTAATATAGCGAAGGCACGATATTACTTGTACATCAATTACTATTTATAAGTAATAGGATCTGCCGAACTACGGGTTGTTAAAAAAGTAATACCTAAATTAACAATGTTTAACGCAGAACAAATATGTCTCGCTTACAATTTGTAATATACAATTATAACCTGAATTTCACATAAGTTTGATTCAATATATTTCGATAAAAAGCTTATCAAATTGCATTATTTTTATTAGAAATCGATTGTTACTAATATAAATTACTTAGTAACTTCGTTTTGAAGAACTGTTCATGACATTTTGACAATTGTTTAGACATAATAATTACAGGAAAAAATGTTTATTGATACGTTATGAGATAAATTAATCTAGGCGTATTATTGGAACACACAAGCTACAATCTTAATATTTGTGAATTATCACAAATGTAAGCACTGATTAATACTTAAATTATTTTAGGATGGTGTTGCCAATTTTAAAAATATGGTAACAAATCAATAGTAAGTCCCGGGTTTTGTTTATAGTTAATATAATGTTTACAATATATGTCTCATCTCATTATGTAAAATAACATCGAAATAAAAAGATTATGTATACTAGAAGAAGGTATTTCTTTGAATATTTATTTGCTATAATCAAACTGTCGATGTTAAAATAAAATAACATAAATGGAAATCGTAAAATGTGTGTTAAAAAATTATATAACAAAATTGTACTATTGATAACTTCTCGTATATTCGATTTGAATAAACCAAATGCATTACATTAAAAGCGAAAGACTAGTCGTACTTTATATCTAGTCACCGATTCTTGGCCCTATAATGGGGCTATCATATTTGAGACGTATGTTAAGGGCCAGATATTGCTAAAACTGTATAATCCACTATTAAAATAAACTGGGGAATTAAAGTAAAGCACCTCTTGAAACAGGTTTCAGGCACAATATAAGGCTAGCACTGGTAATATTCTCATTATTTGTAAAATTATGGCCTCTTACACTCTATGAGCGAATCTTATTACACAGGTTAACTAGTGATTAAGTGTTGGTTTTTTATAAATTTGAACTCTATTTGTAACTGCAGTAATCCACGGCATTGTTCCGCGGTGTTGCTATAACAATTAATTTCAGCAAACCTATCTTCATCGATTTTGTATTCTGGATATATTTTTGGGCCTAAAACTAAATGTTGAGTTAAAAAATATTTTTTTGTTTGATTGACCGCAATGTAAGCTTTAAGTTTTAACCAACACTGGCCGGTTTTGACCGCGCCCCGTAACTAACCGAACGACCAACCGCTTAGTGCGTATGGACCCTTACTTTAAAATATTATAGTTTCTCAGACAAGTAAATTCTAACAGGATTACTCGGGCATATTGTATTGGCACATAAGAAATAAGATACGCTCATAGAGTTGTCTATATCTAATAAAATTCACTGTCACTATTTAAGCACTATCAACACTACCTTATTAGTAACATAAGCAAACGGTTCTCGAACCGAATAAATATTTATAAGCGTTAATCCATGAAAATAAACTATAATTAAAACTAGGTGTGATTAACTTAATTACACTTTGGTAATAATTACCTATGATTTTAATCGTTAAAATTAAACGTGAGAGACTGCCTCTGACCCGAATACACCAAATTAGTTGAAAAAACTGCTTCAATCATGATATTAACAGTTGCTAATCAACGCTATTGGTGAACACGGGCCTTTGTAATTAGCGTTATGTTATGATTAATAATAAAATGAAATATTTACAGAAAAGATACTAATAATGAACGAGTTTATCTGTATCTGGAATATTAAAAGAATTATTTTTTAATTTTAATACGATTAAGTATCTTGGCGTTATATTAAATTTCGTTTAGGTTGTACTTCGCTTCGTATTCTGCACTTACGTACTTATAGGAGAAAAGATTTTACTGTTAAAATGTTGTTCTTAATTCTGATATCTTAAGATCGAGAGCTAACTGATATATTACATTTATAAGCGAACAGAACGTCATTAAATTCCTTATTTCATTAGTCAAGTATCTCCTTAAATAGCCTCTTATGTCATTTGTTATTTTAAAGAACTGGTGGTAAATCATAAAATGTTATATATCGTTAAACGAGTCATATTGATTTCGGTGAATGATTTTTCATAGATCGATTAGAGTGATCTTTGACTAATAAATTAAGAACTGGGCTACATGTCTTAACACCAATACTTTTTAACAATAAATAATGTATTCTATGAACCGTTTAGAGCCGCAATAAGTAGATTAGGGGGAGCAGAACTAGTGTCGGTCGAATGGAGTTTCCGCTTCCAGGAAGGTATACTGAAAAAGGAATATATTTTGATACAGTGATTTCAATCGATCTGAAAACTTTTATTTTGTTTTGGGGCAAAGCTAGAGTTCACCAGTACTTCGGTTATAGTCTATGTCTCCTATGTCTTTAATATTCTTGCCTGTTAGGCAAGAATATTAAAGTTTATATACACACGAAATAAAGTTTTCACTAACTTGATGGTAGTCTTTAATAGGTATATATTTTAAAATATGTATATTATAGATAAATTAAAATAAACAAAATATTTATCTTACCTGAAGCTGGTCGGATGTATTGCGCTTGCGCTTCTATAAGCAAAGAAAATAAACATAAAATTAAACAAAAAAAATTAAGAAACAAAAAAATAAAATAAAATAATCAAATCATACAAAGCTAATTAGTACCTATATCGATTTTTTTTTCTACTTACCAATATCAACAATTGCGGGATTAGTGTGTTCGCTCCAGTTCTTATTATTTTTCACTTTGAGGGTAGCTTCATATTTCCCCGCGTCTATGTCAGCATCCTCGAGGGAATAGATCATTTCATATTCGTGATGTCTAGCTTCAGGGAGAGGTATGCTGACTGTCCTCCATTCTCCTTCCTGGGGACATAGTTGAATTTTTTTTTTGTTGACATATATCGACTTATGCTCATTTGAAATTATAATCTATACTAATATATAAAGCTAAGGAGTTTTTTGAACGTCTTAATATCAGGAACTATTGGTTCAAATTGAAAAATTATTCGATCGATACTAAATTATCGAGGAAGGCTAGAAAACATCGCGCTGTCACTAATAGGAGCGAAAAACGGGAAGTGTGAAAGAAATGGGGAAATTTATTATACCTTTATAGGCCCAATGTTTCACTCTGTGAAAACAGTTCAAGATAACAAAAAAATATGTATTAAAGAATGATTTATTTTAAAATGATCTAACAAAAGATAGACTCTTTTAAGATTAACTCGCAAGAACGACGCGTTCGATGCGCGTCCTGCGTAACAGTTAAAATTTATAAAGATGAGATTGGAAAATCAGCATTTGATGCCCATATCAACTATTCTCGCGGACGAAGTTAGTGTTTTATATACAGTCTCAAGTATTCTTTAAAATCTCTTATAGCAATACTTCTGTTAAAATATTTAATTAATAAATAGTAAAGACCAGCCCAATCGACCCGTCTTTAAACATTAAAAGTGACGTTATAAAAAACTTACCCCATTCATATCCCTCAATTGCAGTTCAATCTCCTCCAGAGGCTGATGAGAGTGGATAGTCCAACTGAGCCTGGGTCCCTCGTTGCTGAATCCCTCAACAACTGGACTTTGTACCAAGTCGATAGACCTGTTGTGTTTGCCATTTTGGTTTTCAGCCTGAAACATTAGTATTGACGTCTTGAGTTTTATCAATGTTGCTTATTTATTATAACAGATTAAATAGCGTATCATATTAAATACTGTCTACAGTTTGCCCGGTCACGGCTGCTGCAAAGCATCCGAAACGTCAGCCCGAAGTTAAAAATATTTTTTTAATAAGTTTAACAGCTAACATATCGCGTTTTAAACCGTTAATTTTTTTATTTAAAAGCGTATCATATTATTTTCTGTATGATTTAATGAGTTCGTTAGTCAATTGGTACCTAGGAATTGTTAAAAATCCACGTAACTTGGGTTCGATCTATCATTGATACATCAATTTAACATTTATCTGAAACACTGGACTTCGTCTGAAAATCTGGGATTTACATGGGTAGTAGAATTTATAAAGAAGAAATTCTGCCGAACCACCGTCTAAAGAAAAAAGATGAATGAACGAAAAAAAAGTGAGAATAGGTCAACAATGGTTCTTGTTGAGATGTGATATGGCTATTTCACCTTCCATTAAGTGTGCATTGTCTGTCTCCCTCTATCATAAAAACGGTGAAATTTTATTCGATGAAACTAGGAGAACTATTCTTGAAACGAATTTTGTAAATTTAAAAAAAAACTTTACTTCATTACAATCATACCTCGCACGTGAATGTCCCAAAGTCGACATCAGATGTAGGAATGACAGTTAGGTTGGAGTGCTGGCCTTGGGTGCTGATGATGTATTGGTTCGAAGTCTCAGCGATTGACTTTCCATCTTTGTACCAGCGGATGTGAGCGCTGAAAGAAAAAAGAACAGGATTATGTTCTGTCTTTCTGTCACTTTTTCTCCATGGGGCATGGGGCGAACACATTTCCGTGTCTGTTTCACTGATTTTACAGGCATGTAATTAATCACATTTCTGTGACCTGCCCGACCTAAATAATTTGTTTCCCCGGGATTTTATCCCAGAACCTCTCACTTAACGCAATGCTAAGCAACACGTTTTAAGATCGCTATAGAGGCGGTCAGAAAAAGGCGGCGAGGCGGTAAAATGTAGTTAAGGTGACAAACGTTGAGGTGTCCACAGCGTTCCGTGCTGTTGCTGTAACCAATTGAGCTGCCGTGACCTACACGTCACTGTCGAATATTTTCAACCTATTGATATATGCAGTTCTTGCGCATTTTTTGTTCAATCTAAAATCGGTTTTAATGTATATAATGCAATCATGTGCAAAACTACTAAAGTTTTCTAATGCTTGTCTCCTTGACCTCTCTCTTCTTATGCCACATTGTAATTGGCAATTTTTGTAAATCTTTTTTTTTATTTGATGGATATATGCTACTTACGCAGGTTCATCGTGTATAGAGCATTGGAGAACGGCTTCAACATTGATGTCTGAATTGATAATAGTTCTGTGGACATGAACCCTTGGTTTCCCTGGAAATAATGTAATACAAAATCTTTTATTACTATTAAGGACCTTATAATTAGAATTTAGAGCAAAAGAGATATGAAACAAATTGGGAATAGTTTGAAGAAAATACTAAGAAGTATGGAATAGTTCGTTAATAATTAACCCACGACGGGTCCAACATGGGTTAAATCAATTTATATATTTTTTTGTGTTATGTTGAACTTCGTCTAAAATATGCATATGAAATGGGTGGTAGGAATATCGATATTCGGTCCGTGTCACGAACGATCCACAGATGAAAAAGTCAGTAACATCGCGTTATGATTTCAGTCTGTGGATTCGCGAATACTTGGAATCCTATGAGGCTAAAAATATTTTATATTACAAAAAGCCGTCTATAGTTTACGCGAGTAGTACACATTTAAATAAAACACTTTAACGGTTTAAAACGCGATATATTAGTTAAACTTATTTGAAAATTATTTTTAACTTCGGCTTGACGTGTGCTCACACAAAAATCATTTTCAAATATGTATAACTAATATATCGTGTTTTAAACCGTTAAAATGTTGTATTTAAATTACAAAAAACCGACATCAAAAATTTACTTGCGTTTCGGTTTAGGTGTATAGATTTCCGAATATCCAAAGCCAAAATAAATTGAGAGCGTATCTTATTTAGATGGTATCTGGTATAGGTATTTCCAAATGGAATCCGATAGAATTCTTTTACAATCAAATACTAGTTGCTACTTACGCAAAACTGTAACTTCTAATTCAGCCTGGGTGTGTCCAACATTGTTGAATACGTAGCAATAATATTTGCCCGAGCTTTCGCGCTTCATGCTCCTAAGGAAAACGCTGTTCGCAGTGAATTCACCGTCTTTTTCTGTCAACCGCTGGTTCTGGAAATAGTTAAAGAATTATTTAAAAAAAGAATCTTTCACAGAAATACGATCCACGTCCGAAGGCAACGCTAGTATAGCACACAACAACATACAGGCAGACAATATCTGTACTAATCTATACTAATATTATAAACCGCTTTAATACTAGGAACTATTGCTTTGGTTTTGAAAAATTATTATTTTGTTGGATAGGCCATTTATCGAGAAAGGCTTTGGCTGCATCACATCACGCTGTACCAACCAATAGAACTTAAGAAACAGTGGAAAATGTGGAAAAAAGAGGGAACATCTTTGAGGGCTTCCGTTGCGTGTGACAGATTATTTGAATATTTGTAAAAAATAATTAAATTATCTAAAAATGACTAGTCTATAAATATTTTGATAATGGTATTTAAAAATTTTAAAAGTAATTTCGTTTGTGACTCAGGCTAACTGTCGGTTGTTTTGAATTTTATAGGGGTGTTAGGGGCGTGGCTGAGTCGAGGGTAAGTGGTGGAAGTTGTGGAAGTTAGGTTTCAGAATATTTTAAATCGTATATCTCCTCGCTTGTTAAATGGGTGTACATTTGTTTTAATTTTTTATTAATTGATTGGATCATCATTGTACCTTGTGTAAAGATAAATCTTCATGAATATGGGTACCATTATTTGTTAGATTCCTAGATGTTTTTAACAAAATGTGTTGCCTTATTTGGGAATAGTTGTGAAATATAACATTGTTTAAGGCTTTTGACAGTATTCTTCTTTTATTTTACATGTTATCCTTAAATCTCATAAACAGTGCAATATTAGTCTCTTTTAAAATCTAACATCAGATGATCGATCAAAAGTGAATAAAATACCTCACACATGTTTGCTCGTCTAGTTATATATAATTTTTTTTTTTTTTCTTCTTATTTCACATTTTTTTTTTTCTCTTTTGTTTTTTTTTTGAAATAAAGATAATTACATTACGTGTACATTAAATACTTATAAAGGGATGTGACACGTAAATTTGTTAAAAATATATCGAGATTTTGATGATGAGATGGATTAGGATTAAAATTTCTAAAAGTAATAGCGACGTATTCAGATATAGCAGCTTTTGTTACGAATTGTTTTAGCCGAACATAGTAAAAATAATAAAAAAACCCTCACTTAGGAGAAAATTGAAATAAGTTCCAAACTAATGCACCAAGTACGAGTTTCAGAGAAATATGGACGATAGCGAGAACATTGCGACATAGCCAGGACTGCTCGAGACGAGATGAAGTGACACATGGCCTTCCAACACTACTCCGTAACCAGACGGGAGCCCTGAGGATTATTGACGATAGAGAACATCTGCAACGTAGCCGGGACTGCTCGAGACGTGATGAACTGACACACGGCCTTCGAACACTACTTCGTAACAGACAAGGAGCCCTGGTGAGGACGTGAGCGAAATCATCCTTAGCGGAGACGTATAAAAGGACTTTACGAAATAGTTTTCTTGCTATCAAACGATTTTTTTTTTTGAGGGGAATTAGTAATTGGTTTAAACATTAATTTAAATTTGGTTGAAAATACTTCCCTGGTCTATTTTAAATATGTTTCGTGTTTAGCTGTAAAACTGCTTTTTATAGGAAATTTTGATAAAGATGGTGCAACTTTGTGGCACATTGTAGTTTGCATTATTTATTTTAAACGAGCTGAATATAATTTTTAAATTGTTTTAAATAATTTGTTGATTTATATTTTTAAAGTTCTGGGGAAGTGTTTCTATGTTTTGCACCATCAGCAGTAGTTATTTTTACGAAGTTAGAAACTTTATTTTTTAGAGCCATATTTTTGCGTAAGATATAGAAATACTATAATGTAGGTTTTTAGGTCATAAGTTAGTCTCTTTAATCGTGTTGAAGTTAAGTAATCGTAAGGAATAGTCTTTTTATCAGTTATTTTGAGAAATTTGTATGTTTAGATTGTTTTTGGCAGCAGTGCCCCAGACCTCAATTAGATAATTTACGTATTAGCACAGTTGCAAAAGAAAAATTGCGAGTATTGGCCTAGAGAAATGATGGACGAAATAGGGACGAAAATTTTCTTAGTTGGCTTCTATTATGTTAATATTTACTAAGGTACTGTTATTTTTAAAAGAGGTATAATTCGAAACGACAAAAAAAAAGCCGCTGTGACTGTTTGCTTGGTACTAGTCCATCCACTCAGGGGTGAGTGGGTAGTGCGTCTAGGTAGACAGTATAAAGAATAGAAGCCGGTCGACTGTTTGCTTGGTACTAGTCCAGACCACGGAGCGGGTGAGGGGGCTAGCTAGTAGAAGTTAATAATTAAAGCCGGCACTTTGCTTGGTACTAGTCCGACCACTGGCAGGGGTGAGGGGGCTAGTGCGTGGTAGACAATAAAGAAAGAAGCCGCTGTCGACCGATACTTGGTACTAGTCCAGACCACCGGCAGCGGGTGAGGGGGCTAGTGCCTCTAGGTAATGGTTAGGAATACTCCGCTGTCTCGATTGTTTGGTGCAAGCAAACTAGACTCATAAGCAGCGGATGAGGGTTTCGACACGTCTATGCAATCGAGAGGTATAAAAAAATAAAAAATAAAAAAAAGAAAGATCAAATAATAAATTTCGATTCTATGATTACAATTTCAAGTATTAAAAAACATTATATTTGTGATGTTCGATTCAAATTATCACCAACAATCCTATTTGTAAGTACAAGCGTTTCTGAGAACAAATAATGTGTCAGTTTGGCCGTAACGGATTATTTGAATTATTTTGAATATTTATATAATTAAACTTGGTTATAATTATCACCAACAATCCTATTTGTAAGTACAAGTGCTCTGAGAACAAATTATATGTCAGTATGGCCGTAACGGATTATTTGAATTATTTAGAATATTTATATAAATAAACTTGGTTATAATTATTACCAACAATTCTGTTTGTAAGAATAAGTGCTTTGAGAACAAATCACATGTCAGTTGGCCGTGACAGATTATTTGAATTATTTTGTATATAATTAGTTTCTAAAATATTCTATATTATTTAGATACTACGTTATCTATATAATCATTGTTTTTGTGATGTATACTGGGGTAGTTTACAAAATGTTTAAAAGTAGTGTTATTCGATGACGTCAGGCTAACACCTGGTCGGTTGTTTGTGAATTGTGTTTATAAAAGGGGGTGCGCTGTAAAGCGGGGAGCAGTGGCTCTGGAGCGATCGCAGGGTAAACGCTGGTGGAACGTTGTTGGAACGTTAGAGGTTTCAGAATATGTTTAAAATCGTATATCTGTATTAATACCTATAAGCGAACGTTGGTTGAAATTAGATGGTCAGGTATGATGTACATTATTATATTGTAATAAATAGGTAAATTATCTTTTTATTATTGAATTGGCATCAATAAGTCAATTAAGATCGTAACCTTGTGTAACATATAGATAAATATCTTCAAATGAATATATAATGGGTACCATTATTGTTAGATTCCTAATTTTTTATACAATAATGTTTGCCGTTATTTGGGAAATACGTTGCTGAAATATAAATTGTTTACGAAATAGAATAGCTTTTGACAGTATATCTTTTGTTATTTTACATTATCCTTAAAATCTCATATAAACCAGTGCCTATATCATAATTAAGTCTCTTTAAAAATCTAACACGTGCGTTACGAAAAGGGTTCATAAAACGAAAATATAATTATTGCTCTTGAAAATAAAAATAAAATGTCCGCTAGTTTACATTAGCATTAAAAATTAGATTATGAGATGTTAAAAACAAATTTTTCGTCTTGGTATCTTTCAGTATCTAGTGGCGTACAAGGTTTCTTGAAAATATTGATATTTCGATCATACACGATTTTCGCCTTGCATTGCATTACAATGTACGTGGGTGATACTTATCAGTTGCTTCATTCATTATTGAATTTGCATTGAGAAAACAGTTTCGTAATCATTTCTCAATAGAGATCGCGGTATGTAATTAAATATAATGACCCGAAAATGTCGAAGCCAATATAGTTATTTTGTATGTGTGTATTTACTAGGGAACTAACTCGTTATCGCAATGCACGTAACGGATGACTTAAATATTTTCCCCGGGTTTTCCATATGTCGCAACCTGTTGTTTTATAGATAGCCTTAAGTCTTCCTCAATAAATGCTTTAAAAAGAATTTTCAATTCAGGCTAGTAGTTCCTGAGTTTAGCGCGTTCAACCAAACAAACAAACTTAGCTTAGATAGTTTTATATATTAGTATAGATGTATAATCTGTTTATAAAATCCAGTGTATGAAGGTTATAAGTCACGATATCATAGAACGTGTTTACACGATAAAACCTAGACACTGGAGTATTTTAGTCCAAGTTTCCGCGTTCTGACATATCAAAGAGATGTTAACGTCAACATCTATCTGTCCCGCTGTCTGCACATACATGTTTATTTGCGCAACTAGTTTTAATATATATAGTTTATTTAGCTATATTGATAGATGGTAAAATATATCATTATAATATATCTTTATTTAGAAAATTATAAAAGCGTTAATTCCCTAAAATCAAAATATAAAAAGAACTGCGATGCTAGCGCTATTTATTAAGTCGTTGTTGGTATTTAGGTAAACTAATTAATACATTTTGCGATTAAAACCGTTAAAGTTTTCTTTTCGTACTACTCGCGTAAACTACAGCCATCAGGTATCTTAGAACAATGTAAATGATATAAAAGTAAGAAACGTACACCATCAGCGCCTCCCCAAGACCATAGGATTTGAGGGGGGGAGATCCGGAGACTTCACAGGTGAGAAGCAGGTCTTGACCCTCCCTAACAACGCCATTGTCAGAAGCGTAGAAACCTGAAAAACACGCCGCGCATTTAATATAAAAATATTTAAAACACACATTCTCACTATGTGGAATTTAGTCGAAAATTTAGTAGAGCTTAGAAGCTATATTAATGCTTCTCTGTACAGAATGACCACGGTAAAAGAAATATTGTTAATATACCTTAAACATATTTCACATTAACAAAAAATTTACATGTTATTGAAGTTGATGGCATTATAGAAATTAAAAATCTATTTAGTTTAAAAAAACAGCCGATGACATGAGCGGGACTTGAAGCGGCATCCACAGCGATCCGTGCTGCTATAACCAATTTATTTTCGTGACGGTAGACTTTAATCGACATCAAAAATACTTACGATTGATCTTAGGCGATTCCAAAATGGCGATATGGTGCTCTATGGACGGTGGGTTCATCTGCAGAATTTCACATTTGTAAGAACCGCTGTCCTCGTGTTGGATGTCCTTGATTAAGAGGTCCGTTGAATTAGGAGCACTGTAATTATATAACACGGTAATAAGTGGGTATCTATACTAACATTTTTCAGTTAAAGAGTTTGTTCGTTTGAACGCGCTAATGTCAGGAAACAATCATCAACAAAATAAAATATCACGCTGCTACTAATATTAGCGAAGTGTGGAACAGACGGAAAAATTATTCATCTTCGAGAGTTACGAGAAAACGGTTTGAAAAACCCAAAAACTATGTTTTTTAAAGATTATTAACGATAAACTTGCAAGAACGACGGGACGCGAACGACGTCGTTGGTAACAGTTATACCTTATTTATAAAGATGAGGAGCTTTGCAAAAACAAATTTTGACCCCCATAATAATTATTCTACGCGGACGAAGTCGCTAGCATAAATAGTGATGTATGTAACGAGAACATATTTTCATAAGTCATAAACAAACAATAAGAACCATCTCTATACTATGACTTGCGTGTTTGATAATATATTAGAGAAGATACGGATTAGGTAGTTTGTTAATAAATGATGACTATTTTTATATGCACGAGGGTGCGTAGAATTTATACTAATCTCTTGGCAAATAGGTAAAATCATCACCTAACAGCAAGTATTGTTTATAATAAACATTATTTTTTTTTGTTTCGTCTAATAGGTGATTAAGTCTATATAATCAGCTGAACATTTCACCCAATTCCCCACTCTCCCTTTGCTACAGATTTTAGGTTTTAGGGAGCGAAATGAAAAAAAATATAATTACATAAAGAATCGATCTAGTCCAGTGTATGTTTGAAGATCCTGTTCATTAGGCTTCATGGTTCCAATAAAATATTTTGTGTTCTTTCTTGTCCATTGCACTACAACACCATCTGAAACAGGCATTTTCAATATCGAATTAATTTATCATACATTATTGTATCCTTAAGCAGGGCAATAGATTTATCTTCGAATTGTAAATTGATAAAAGCCTTTACACAATTGTTCATTATATTTGGTTAATATTCAATAATAACAAATAACAACGATAATAAGTAATCCATTCCTCATAGTTATAATAAACACACAAATTCAAACTATGTATTATAACTATTGTCAATCATTTCATATTAGGAATTCCGTTCACAAACCGGAACTTCTATTTTGGCGCCACAGGAAACGACAGTCGATATAGATTATTACGCAATCATATATGACCTCATTGAAATAGTTTTTAATAAAAAAAAAACTAACCGGTAGGTTCAACTTTGCACTCCAGTCGAACATTTTTCCCGATTGTAACGCTGTAGTTCGTTGCTTGTGTCACGATAACCGCATCTTCAACATCCTCATCAGCGTCGTTACCTGATATTGATTATTAATTTATTATTATTTATGGATTCCTGATTTAAAATCCAGGCAGCTCTTCAAAATCACATAATACTAAGACCATAAGACCTTTCGATGGTTGCAAAATTTCATTTGGTATCTCTATGTTTTGTTTACCAAAGTGTGAAATAAATAAATATTTTTCACTGCCTCCGTGGCCATTTAACTTAATGCATTAAATGAGAGTCCTGGGGTTAAAACCGGGGAAAATATAAAAATTTCTGTCAGACACTGACATCTAATTAACTAAATGTAGGAAAATTTATGTGTTAAAGCACGGACTAGTACTTATGTTACTATTATAAGCTTTCTTAAGCGTCTTTATAATTATTTCAAAGAATCTATTCAAAGTCAATAAAAATAGTATGGAATATTTTAGCTTAGGTAATTTGTTACAATCTTTTGAGTCATAGCATTCGATTTATAATTATATGTCATATATATATGATGAAGTGATATCATACCTCCATCAGCGTCATTTTGTGCTTCATCATCGCTTGCTTCATCAGCAAGTACATCGTCATAGCTATTGTCCTCCACTTCTCGACTTTCCATAGAGTGGCGCGCTTCTGAAACAATAAAAAATAGTTTAGTTTACATTTCTTTCTCTCAAGAAGAAATAAGCATAAAAAAGAAGAAAATGTATATTGTCTGTAGTTTACGCGACTACACTTATTACGTACACAATTAAATAAAACACGATATATTAGTTAAACTTAATTGAAAATTATTTGTAACTTCGGCCCGACGTTTCGTTTTTTTTAATGCTTTTTTTAATCAATAAATGTCTTTTATCATATAATAGAAAATAATATCTCTAGAAGTCATGTTATACACAGATAACAATTAATTTATTTAATGTAATTTTAATCCGCATGTATGTATGATAATATTTATTCTCAGTAAGGTTGATTCACGGCATGTTTACTGAACAACCGTTTGACTTAAAGCCTATTTACATAAAACATTATATCCCTATATAGTAGTCGTATAATGGATAGCTTGCTTTGGACAAATACCGATGTTTGGTTCAAGTTAGGAGCGACTTTACATTTGTAAACTATATTTAAATATTTGGATACGATATATGAGATCCGTCTAAGTACAAATGTAGTTAAAATTTTGTTTAAAAATAAAATCAAACTACCTCTGTAATCATGAAACGATACGAAATGGCAGACAAAGAATGTACATAGCCACAAGATTAAATTTAATCGATGACACGCGAAGGACAAAGATATATTGTCTCTCCAGCGTCAACGTTTACTTCGCATGGGTAAAAAACAATAAAAGTCAATCTAAAAATTCGAGAGTGAGTAAGAGTATCTTTTTAAAATACTTATTAATTTAAATACACTCTTATAAAAAAGGAAGCACAAAATCAACAGTCAGATCCCCAGAGTCGTCGAAATGTAGGGCAGTAGTTAATATAAATCTTAAATAATGTAATTGATCATGCTTTAAACCGTTAAAAGTATTTTGTTTAAAAGATCAACAAGTTCCTCAACATCACTTTAATTCAATGAACCAGTGGTGTAAATAATTGCTTGTCGCTAAGCTTATATTTCCACTCTCGCTACATCCTTTGTATTGGGCCGCGCATAAACCAGGATTGTCTCACAGATAGACATTAAGTTGCTACTCTATTCAATGTCCCCTTTCCTTGTACGGACTAACTAGATTGCTTACATGATGCCTCTACCTTTCACGTAAAAGGAATTTTGAAAACTTCACCTTTGACTTTTCAGTGACACGTACGTTAACGATTTTAAATTAATATCATCCATCGACCGATTATACTTTTATGGTAAGAAAGCTTAGATCGAGGGTATGAGATATTTCATTTATACAGGAAGTTTCTGAATTTAATTCGCCGTCTAGTTCGGCTCTATTTTCGTCTGCGCCGGCGCACGTAAGGCCCTTGTACCCTCAAAATTCGGGGCACCCTTAGTCTAACCGGTAACTCAAGGCGTGCAAAAATAGTTTCTCATTACAAACAAAAAGAAAAAGGCTATATATAATTTTTTGATATATTCTAATAATCATATGTTCTAACGTATAGCTATCATGACGCTACATTTGCAGCACAGATCTTTCGTGGCAGATGTTGGTAACATGTGATCTAGCTTCTTTTAGATCGACAACGGTTTAACACGCGAAATAATAATGTTATATTTATTCAAACCCCCCGTGACCACGGCTTCGTCGTGGCCTCCAAAACAACGGATCGTAATTAAAGTAAAACAATTATAAGTTTATATATTACGCGTTATAAACCGTTAAAAGTGTTTTGTTTAAATGTTTACTGCGTGTAAATTATAGAGAATACTTAATGGATTGAGTTAACTTTAATTTTTAGACACTTTTCCAACATCTATGTTTTTTGTAGTTTCGTTTATCTATCTAATTCCTTACCGTAAAGGCCAGTCTCTAATTAATGGGGCTCTAAGAGTCGTGAGATACAGCGTGTTTGCTTTGAATCGATAATTATGTTTACACACACCCCGAGACGTGTGAGTTACTGAGGAGTTGCATGTTTAGCCATTATGTTATAATCAGAAAGGGATGAAATCAACACGAAAGCTATATTTTTCATATTTGTAAGATTTATTTGTGAATTAATACTTTAATAATGTAAATGAACCATGAATATCCTAGCCAGAATAAAATAAAAAGGCCTTTATTCACAAAATGAATACGTTTATAACTTAAATCTGGATCTGGACTTCTTTATGATAGAGGGCAGACGAGCGTGAAGCATGAAGGTAGGTTAAATGCGACAGCCATATTTTGGCTTTGGATATTCGGAAATATACAGACTGATACCGAAACGCGATTAAGCTTGACGGCTTTTTCTTTTGTGGACGTAGATTCGTCACGCGGAACGGAAAAATGTTGCCTACAGTGAGGAACGCACAATTCGTCCTTCATAGCTACCAATGTTTCGCACAATCTAATTAGCTAGAGGAGACCGCCTCTGTAGCCACATGGTTAAATGCATTGCCTAGCATTGCGTTAATCGCGAGGGGTCCTAGGTTCGAATCCCAGGGAAACATAAAATTGTTTCGGTGGGGCAGGGCACAGAGGTCTGATCAACTGCTTGCCCGTTAAAAGTACGGATCAGTGAAACGCACACAGAAATGTGTTCGCCCCATGCCCCACGAGGGGGAAACGGGCTTTCACTTTTAATTTGCTAGCGGAATAGACACAGATATGTGGCTGGGCTTATGCCCCGCAGAGATTTCACTAATGTTGTTCTGTCGGAGGTCACAATGAGAACCCAAGTTATTTTTTTATCATAATAGCCCATTTGGGAACAATAATTAGGTAGTGTTAACTTTATATACAGCGTCTGTCGTCATTTTGTTCATATGTATATTTATGAGTGAATGCCTTACTCCATTGCGTGAATACTAATTAATTCATATTATGGGGAACGAGGAAAGACTGCGTGTCGGTCGGTTAGACGTGTCTAGAATTTATATATAACGACTGAGCTGTATTTGATGCGATACTAAGCAAGGAGATTGAAAGAATATTACGAAATCAAGATAATTTGTATATTATATGAGGCTGCTAGAGGTAGAGTGACCCAATAACAAAAAAACATGAGTTTTAATAAAGATAAAAATAAAAATGCCCAATTTACTTAAGCGGAAAAGATTTGGTACTATTATTTGTGTAAGAATTATGTTAACAATTCTTTGGTCACTGTGTTCTTGAAGATTTTTAGACTATGGAAATATGAATTACTCAAGTCATAAATTTGCAGTTAGGCTACTGTGGCTCTAGCGGCGTCACATTTGCTAAGGATTACAAGGTATTTAATTATTTTTATATATTCTGACATCAACATTCTGACTCATAAATCCAACATTGTATAATTATACACTTTACACTTGGTAATGACGAATAATTTATTATTTCATTTATATGGTCAGTATAAATATGTATTAATCAATTAAATGAAGTCTTGTTTACCGATTTGTTATTTGTTAGGCTCCTTTGTTAAATGTAGCCATGTATGACTAAAAATATATGGTCGTGGGTTCAATGCCGACCCATAATTTTCTAAAACTTTTTTTTGATTTAAGAATATTTAAAGCCAAATTAGGTCGACAGACTACTTCTCGCTGGGTTTCACATTCCATTATGCTTGTTTGTCTTCCTTTCTCAAAAAAAGTCCAAAATGAACCGAATCATTAATAGAAATATTAACAGAAAAAAATAGGTCGAGTTATAGCTCTATAATAGTAACTTTTCTTTTAAGAAAGACTTCTTTTTAAAACAGTAACACTTTTTGCTATTTTATATGTTGTGTGTCTTATTAGTGCTTACGACAATTTATTCATAAAGCTACAGAAGAGCTATATCTTCGCTTCGTCACTGGAATCAAAGCGACAGCTAAACTGATGTCAGTTCAAAGGATTTCGGTGTTGGTTAAACACTAGTCGTGGTTATTAATAAGGATTACATTCCTATCTATCTACATCAGTTGCCATATTGAATATTGCTTTGAAGTTTACACTTCAGAGTTTTTACCGATCAAGGATAAGTTTCGGAAGATGTTTGATGAAGTTAATAAATACTGTCTATTCGATAGTAAATTTAAATAAAACACTTTAAGGTTTATAACCCATATATTAGTAATATATCGTTTTAAACCGTTAAAGTGTTTTATTAAATAATAATATATAAACTAGCTGACCTGGCAACTGTTGTGACACATATATTATTTCTAGAGAGTTTGAAATTGATCAGTTATCGACTTGGATGAAAAATGTTTCAATTAGCATAACAACTAATAACATGCATAACTATGTATTAAAAAAAAGGGTTGGTGATAAAAGGGTTTTATATATTTTTAATGCCATATAAAAAAAAAAATAACAAAAAAGTAAAAAAATTACTAGGGGGGATAACCCTTATCACTTAGAGGTATGAAAAATAGATAAGTAGTTACCGATTCTCCGTCCTGGAATATGCACGTAAAATTTCATTAAAATCGCTCGAGCCATTTTGAAAGTGTATTGTAACTGACACTGTGACACGAATATTTTATCCCCTTAATAGTTCCCACAGCAGGGCACAGACCTCGTATACTCGTTACTCGTAGATACTTACGAAGAGGTTTTTTGAATGCTTTTATTCCACTAGAAAATTTGAATTGGCGTAATAATTTATCGAATTTTGAATTCAGAAATTCAAACTGGATTTGAAACTACATAAACATACAACGAAGCTTTGTTAGTAGAATTGTAATAATAATTATGAAATGTTATTTTGGTACATAAATAATTTCGAATCTAATTACTAGATAAGTTTTGCAGCGCAAAATGCGTCAAATCCATTACACCCAATTACATGAATGGTCATTACGCTCTAGGAAGTGAATACGGGGCAAATCAATTAACTTTAATTAAGCAGACAGACAGACCTCGCCTTTGTATATATCTAGTAGGTCAATGTGGATTAACCTTATTATTTTATATGGAAAGCCTACCTGAAGCTTAGAGAGAAACAATCCGTTTGTGTCCCTAATTTCTACGTGCTTTTGTTACGTATTGGT